TGTGTGTGTGTGTGTGTGTGTGTGTGTGTGTGTGTGTGTGTGTACATGTAGAGGTCAAAGGCTGACTTTAGGTGTCTTTCCTTAGTGAATCTCCATCTTTGTTTTTGTTTGGTTTGGGGGCAGATTTTTGTCTTTACAGTTACTTATATATTTATTTTGTGTTTGTGTTTTTGCTTAAGTGTGACACAGTATTCATGGAGGTCCAAGACAACCCATCCGAGTTGGTCCTCTCCTTCCCACGAGGTCATCAGGCTTGGCTTGTCCACAGGTGCCTTACCCACAGACCCCGCCTTTCTTTTGGAGGCAGCGTCTCTCAGTGAACTTGAAGTTAACCAATTAGGTAAGACTAGCTGGTCAGTGAGCGCCAGGAATCCTCCAGCCTCTGCCTCCTCAGGGCTGGGATCACAGCCCATCTGTTTACATGAGTGCTGGGCATTCAAACGCAGACCCTTATGCCTGCATGGCAAATACTTCCTACACCGCCCATCTCCCAACCTCTCTGAAATGCTTCTTGGATCTCTTTATGGTCTGTAGCATCTGTAGAGTGAGTAGATTCCCTGCTCACCTCCAGGCTCCCATTCTTCACTCTCTGCCATCTTGTCTGCCCACCCCACCCCCACCCCCAGTGTCATTCCTGCAGGAACTGGCCTGTGAAGTCCCACTTTGCTCACAGCATCAGCTGACCCCGCCACCCTCTAGGCAGACTGCAAGTTGTCTCTGCCCCTCCTGAGGCCTTGTGCCTCCCACTGTATTAGCAAACACCTTAGAATCAGGATAGATCTTCGAGGAACACTTAGTACCCTTACAAATGTGTGAAAACATTCAGTTGCTGTAAAAAAAATCTTTTTCAAGAAAATAAGATCCAATTAGCGTTGACTCGTGTGTCAGGCAAGCTAATGTTCCAAAGGAATTCCCTCTGCTTATTCAGCTACTATTTTGTGACGTCCCTTCCATGCCTGTCTTCAGGGCTGGCCTGCTCTGACCTGTGTGCTGCCACAGAACCCTCCAGACCTGGGGGAGGACCCCATAGGTGGCTTGTGGGTGGTGACGGCAGGGTCAGCGGTATGGAATGCTATGCTATGAATCTGGCTCGGCTAGGTTAATCTTTTATTTATATAGTTTTCTATCTCTCTCTCTCTCTGCCTGTGTGTGTGTGGGGGGGTGGGGGGGGTGGGTGTGGTTGTGGGTGTGGTTGTGGGTGTGAGTGGGTGCCTCTTGGTCAACGGATAACTTATGGACGTTGGTTTGCTCCCTCTAGATACAGGGTTAGAACTCAGGTCTTTTTCTCGCTGAGCCATCCCGTGTTGCTACTTGTAACGACTGTTATTAAAGAAAAAAATCAGATCAAGAGTGACATATAAGACTGGAGGTCACTGAGGGGTGCCAGCACCATGTCTGGAGGAGCAGTCAAGACCTGGGCAGTGTTGGCTCCTTTCAAATGACTTCCCATAACGTCCCCACACTGCTAACTTTTCTTCCCCGACCTAGGTGACCAAGTGCAGGCTGCAGGAGCAGCTTGCTCGCACTGCTGCCCGGTGACCTTTCTGCCAAGGGTTAGGCTGAGGAGGCGGCCTACGCTGAAAAAGGGGGTACCTGAAAATGCCTAGTTGTCTGGCCCAGGAGCCACGGCCGCCCCTGGCAAGGAAGGCTTCATCTGTCCCGGAACCTACTGGAAGGCGGGCCTGGGTAGGAGCTAGAGCTGGAGCGGTTCCAGGGGCTCGCGCGCCACTCGACCCCAACGGTGGCCCGGAAGGCGCAGTGCGGCCCGCGCCCCGCCTC